GAGAAATCTTAACAAAGTGATATAAACTGCTGTGATAACCCACGCATTGCAGCGCGGGATAATACATCCAAAGCATGAAACAATAATTGAATAATTTGAAAGAAATACTCGGAATATTATGTGAAAAATATTTCAGAGAACCCATGGATGACTGACGACTGACGTCTGCATTCGCGACTCGCGACTCGTTAATCGTGACCCCAGCCTTCAATTTTGGTAATTTCTATACATTATTTCATGTATTGTACCTAATTTATTCATGTTTTATTTTATATTCATGTTTTATATCGTTCACCATTCATTGTCCCGTGCGTCCTACGTCTAAAATCTGATTGATCCCGTGCGTGACGACTACGACATGCTGGAGTTTGCCATCAAACTTGTTTTCTATGAATTCAAACATGACAACGGATAGAAAACGATTTGGATTACAAACTAAAATGTTTCTACTCAGTAGATGGGATATTCTTAGTATTATTTAGAAATTAATAAAAATTTTCATTGTGTATCCATTTTGATGAATGTGCTCACTGTGCTGCCATAAAATGGCAAGAGTAAAAAAGATTGATATAAATTGTAAGGAATTAGACATAGAAGTTAGATAGAAGTGAGCTGTTACATGATAATTGATATAAATCTTAGCTGTCTTCATTTAACATCCAAGTAAGCATACATTGCTTGGCCGCATGACCAGCTACTGAGCTACTTACAGCCATTTGCGCTCAGCCTCTGAAGTCTGCACACTACATTGCTACACATTGTGGAATTCTAGAGAGGTATTGAATTTACAATAACACATAGCATATTGGAATGCAGGACTTGATACTTTGAAAAGCAGAACCTGAAAGCTTGGAAAGACCAGGAACTTTCCACTTTTAATCCATTATATAGTACATATCTTTAGATGATATCCTATTCCAGCTGTGATTGGTTGGTGGGATTGTGATGTCATGCTTTCCAGCTGTAATTGGTTGTGCCCAAATATGATATGTGTGTACTGATTACCATAAATATTAAATCAACATAACTTAATACCTGTCTTAAACTTAATCATTACCAACAAAGGGCCTAGAAAATTTTCAAAAATCCAATTGATAAAAGAAAAATAAATAATAGGTACCAATCAAACAAGAGACAAGTAACAATTCTTAAACAAATCTGAGGTCCTACACAATTGAAACAGTTTGTCCACTTTTGATCCCCCTTTCCCTTTATACTACTTACTGTACGTAGTCAGTCACCTGGCAAAGCACTGTATCTGAAGAAAGCTTTGCACCCTGGGTGGAAACTGGAAGCTTTCTTATAAGTTAACTTCCATACCTAGAATTCCACACTGCAGTGCTATGTGAGGCCAATTATTCTAAATTAGTACATATTAGGTTAGGTTAGTATTACGCAGACAAAATGGCTGTTACAACGGAAAACTTTGAAATGCACCTTAGGCTTAAATTAAAGCTTAAGAGTTGGCTGTATTGATGAGTAAAAGCAGGCTTTCTCTGGCTTTCAATTTTGCTCTCAGTCAAGAAATGGAAATAAGCAGTATCATTTTGCATAATGAAGCAAGTGCAATGATGAAATTGTTAGCAAAATGTATATATGGGGTTGGGGATATTTTATAGTTCATACTTGGTTTTAGGACATCTCATCCTTGTATTGTCCCAGGTTTCAAAAAGTTGTCCCAATTTTTATCCCTGATTGGGACTAAAGTTCTTGTCTTTTGTTGTCTGAAATAAAGGAGCACCAGAAGCAGAAGTCTGGTGAACATACATACATAACTGTTATATGAACCTAAAATTTTTAAATCGCCATTTGATACAAAGACGTTACATCACTTTGGGTGAAAGCGTACAGTTGAATGAGGCAAGGAATGTCATACTGCTCATACTAGTGTATGCCGATGCACATTTTACACAATAGTATTTATGAAGTAGAAATTTTTACAAATGCACAGGAGAAATATCTTCATATTGGAAGAACTGATTTTAAAATTATTCACCAAAAAAACCTGAAGATTATTATTTGATGTGTATTTCAGTGAATATTTTTAGTACTGTAAAAGGGGGTTACTTTGACTACTTTTTTTTAATGACGCTATTTTTTATTAGCTAAATTAACCTTAAATTGAAACATGTAAAATACAGGTCTATACTCTAGGTTCGCTTACCATAAATTGCTGGCTCCTGCCTCTCATAGTTTTGATGTAATTTTAAAGAAAGTTATGGTCATTGTTACCTCCTCGCTTGGGTTATCTTTGAATGGGTGGCAAAATCAATTTTATTTTTTGGTAAAATAACTCCAGTTTTTTTTGCATTCTAGAAGAACTCTTCTAGTTACATATGCAAATGAAAAATTTGAGGGAAGTGTCATAGTTTGCAAATGGGGGGGGGGGGGGGTGCCGCCCCCAATGGGGGAACTTTAACCACCTAATGTCAGCCCTGATGGGGTAATATTGACCGGCTTGGAAATTAAGTTAAAATTATCATATATAAGACTATGTAGAGTCTGAAACATAAAGAAAAACCATTAATAGGTTTACTATCAAACATAAAATATGTTATATAGGTACCTATGGCAATTTTAACTTGATTTCCAAGCCGGTCAATATTTCCCCATCAGGGCTGACATTAGGTGGTCAAAGTTTCTCCCCTTGGGGGGCAGCGCCCCCATTTGCAAACTGTGACACTTCCCTCAAATTTGTCATTTGCATATGTAACTAGAAGAGTTCTATTACAATGCACCAAAATCTGGAGTTATTTTACCAAAAAATAAAAAAATTGGAGGGGTTCTACGTCAGGCTTTAAATAATAATAGCTCTTTTTTGTAGGTCACATTTTTTATTTTTTAACCTATTAGATATGCAAACTTTTTTAATCTTTCTATTGGGTTATGTAGCCTCAGTATTAAGCCTTTAATGCCCATTGACAAAATTTTTCTATGTCAAAAAGTTTTTGAGTTGTGGGGGTTGTTGTTAAAAAAACTAATAGTGGTCAAACTTACCCCGGGAGTCAAAGTATACCCCTTTTACGGTACTACTAAATATTTCCATTGTTGAAAAAATCTCATTGTATAGTTTAGTAATGATTTTATGATAGATCAAAAAATAGATTGCTTAACATGAAATATAGATTAAGTTGAAAAGTCACAGTGTATTATTGTTTAAAATTCATCTGACTGGAATCAAAAGCTACAAAAGCTAAACAAGTCATTGCTTACACCAATAAACATAAGTATTGCTAACAGAAGGTAAACAAAAGTCTTGAAATTGTTATTAGTTTAACATTGCAGTCAATATATCATTACCTATATGACAATCTCCTCCTTGATCAAAGCTTCATGGTGAATTGGATGGACTTGACAATTTAAATTTAAGTTGACATGAGGAAGATGATCAAAAATTGGAATGATGACATTTATGTATCAGTTAGGTAGAATATTGGCTTCAAATCAATTGGACAATTGGCCAGCCAAGCAAGTTTGTGAAAGCATATGTAAATATTGGCATAGATAGAACCGAGACAAGAGCCATGCCCTAACCATTTTTTGGAAAAACTTGCCAGCAAATTTTGAAAGCTTGTTTAAAACTGAGAATTCATTAAGGAATTTAGAAAGTTACAATTTGAACTAATAATTAAGGTAACTGTCCTAGCCATTTACATCCATAAACAAAAAATTGAGGTAAATTTCAATTATTTTAAAAATGGTTTGTTCATAAAAAATCTTCACACCAAATGAATCCTAAATTTCTGAATAATCCTAATTAATTTTGGCCATGACTTATGAAATAGCAAGGCATAGAATGGAATTGTTAAGCTTCTAATGTCTTTCATATGAAATCATAGAGGTAGCTTTGATTATATGAATATTCCTATTTAATTAAATAATAAATATAAAGCCAATCTATATAAATGTATAAAATGTAGTTATGGGATAATTAAAATATCATCTTCGGGTTAAATAGTAAAATATGGTTTCTTTCAGATTCTGCTGTTTTACTGGCAGTGTTCTTGTCAACGTGCTAAAGTTGCTCTCATGTGCTCAGGATATATTCTTGTTTTCCCCTCATTTCCTCCCATCTTACTCAACTATATATAGGTAATAACTTGGGATAGAATTAATTCTTTCTAATCCTTGAATTGGAAATTTTGTATCAAATCATTTGTACCTGCTTCATCTTCCTTTATTTAGATTAGAATATTAGTTTTGTTTTGTTCTATATATATGTTGAAAATTGTGTGATTGGACATGTAGCCATATTTATAGTGCAGGAAAAATGAAGAAATAGAAAATTTGTTTGGGTACATTAGATTATTACTTGAAATTTTATTTATTAATTGGTATATGTGAACTTGGACAAAGTTTTTACAGTTTTGACATAGTGCAAAATTCAAGTAAGTGTGCTGTGAGTTGGAAAAATCTCATGAAAATTTTGAAACCTTATACGCATATCTTGACCAAATGGTATGCAAATTTTTGACATATCTTGCACTAATTGTTGGTGAGAAGATCATATTGACCAAATATTGGTCAGTTGACTTCACTTGAAATGTTCTGAAATTTTTTGTGCTCATATGTTCAAGACCAAATCATGCTACTTAACTCATTATTAAGTATGATTCAATAAAATTAAGTATTTATTAACTAAATTTCACCAAGTTACAGTTACATTTGTTGAATCATTCCATTTTATGGGTGTAAATGTCCATCTGCAATCATCAATGCAACAAGGAACAAGCAAATAATTAGGTGCTTAAGCTAACGTGAGCCAGTTAAATTTTATTGCAGTTGTTGGAATTGAGGTCTATCTTTTGAGCCTCTATCTATTTCTATACATCCCCTCCAGTGCTTGTACCTTTGCTACAAAAGTTGATAGATTTTAAAGATAAACTGCATTGACTCATGATCACCATATATGGAGATGGCATCCATTACCAAAGAATGCTGCGTTGTGCTGCACCATATCGCTGATGATGCAGTCAGGAGGGGAGATGTCCTGAGCAGAGCCTCACTAGAGTGTCTCCTGGTGCGGGCAAAGTCAAGTCTGAAGGTAAGTCAATTTATTTATGGCCTACTCTTCACTTATCAAAATGCAGCAGTTAATTGTCTATTGCTCTGTGTAATTTCTGCTTATCTTATTTTTTGCATGTTATAGTTTATGTGAAGTTGCCCCATAAGATTTAGTCTCAATGTGTAGAAATATATTCTCTAATAGATTTCCATCTCCTCATATCTGAGGAAATCTCACCGTTTTGTCTGAAGCTCACCAGATCTGTTAATTTGGGGAAATTAATTATACTTTGTGAGGTCTTGCCCCTTATCAACCTATTTTTCAGCCATAGAAATGGTTGCTGCTGCACACAACATCAAAGAGGAGCTTGGAGATGAGACTGAGGATGTAACTGTGAAGGAGGAACCATTCCTGTATGATGAGGTAATGGATGCCTTGCAGGCATATGACATGCCTGCAAATATCTTCTTGAAAAAATTTGAAGGATGATATTTCATTTTTCAATCATCTATGGAATCTTTTAGTTAGGCTTTCAGAATCATAATTTTGTAAGATGATATCTCTGAACTTGTTACTTCATTTCAATAGTAAATAAAATCAAAGGTTAGCAAGAACTTCTAAGAAATGATAGATAAAAATGAATAGAAAGGAATCCTATTGATAACTATTTATAATTTCTTTCAAATAATATGTATTACTTCAAGACCTTTCATTGTCCTCTCTTTTTCTTCTGCTACAGGCTTGTTCAGTTGAACATCTCAGCCCCCCACCTCCACCCTCATCTTGGGTGCCATGTAAGATGGAAGCTCAGGTTGAGGATCCTAATGCCAATCAAACCTCACCACCGCACACTTCTACCCTGTTTATGAATCAGGTATATAATATTTGCTGTCTCTTACCTAGCCTATGCAAAAATTTTTGAGGAGTTGGGAAACCTATTATTTCTGTGGATTACTTCCATTCTCATTCTATTTGTAAATTTCCATTATTCTCCAAGCAATCTTTTATTCTCTATTAGAGGATAAAGTAATTGGTCATTGGTTGACTCATGATCAGTGGTGGGCACAGTTAACTGAAAAGTTAGCTTTGATAACCATTAATACGTTAACTGAAAAGTTTGCATTTATAACGCTTAATCAAAAAGCACCAAAAAATTTTGCTCAATTATAGCTAATCGCTAAATTTTAGTCTGTCAATTTAGCTGTGGCCTAATTTTTGGGGAGGACACTGAAACTCTGAAATTCAGAACTAGAGAGCTGAACTTTTAATATGTTGTAGCATTGACAAGGAGCTTCCTAAAAAGGTGTAGCATGCCAAGATCAAATGATGATTAACCACTCAACAATTAAATGGACAAATGAAATTCAGCAGTAATCGTCATTCAACATACAGTTTATTAAAAGAATAAGAAAGTATTAATTGAATGAGAAATAGTAAGAAATAATAACACACAGGTAAAAGCAGGTTTACACACTGCCCTCATTCTGGCTTGCCCTTCATCTCCTCGAGGTGATGATTTTTGCCCTTGATGAACATCAGCCTCTCAATGCTGCATCAACCAATCTCGTCTTGTGCTACTACAATATGTAGCAGTAACACAAGACGTGATTGGTTGACGTACATATGTTGACATAATCAGCCATCAGTGTGGCACACAGCTAATGTTATTTAGGATTAAATATTAACACCCGAATTTTCTATCAGAAGAGACTTTTACACTTATATCATACTGCCAGTTAGTGGAACCAAATTTAGCTGAAGCTAATTGGTCCGCTAATGGTTTGCAGAGTTATCTGAAAAGCTTATCCGATAAGGAAAAAGGTAGCTTTGTAATTAGCGGTTAGCGGATTAGCAGAAGTGTGCCCAACCCTGCTAATGATCCGTGAAATACATGCTCTGTTCTTCATCAATGTAAATTGTGCAAGTAAAATCCAATAATTTTCAATCTTTGAAAATAATAATTAGAAAAACTTCTGATTTCCCCCAGTTAAGCACAAAATTGTAGATCAAATCATCTAGGCAGAGTAAAAAAATGAGGAAATCTGTGTTGAGTCTGTTGAATAAAAGATAACATTCTCATTCACCTTATGTATCTGAGACCACATTCAAGAAAGGATGTAATGGGTAATCAAAACCACAAAGAAGGGGCTGTGTTGATTATAGAGCAATACAGCCTCCTGCTGTGTGTGGAGGAGTAATACAGCCTCCACCTCAATGGAAGCTGTATTGCTTGGATTCCCAGCAATAGTTCTTACATCTTAAAGCTATCCTTGGTCTGCTTAATAATTACAACATCCATATTCCAGCTGTGAAATTTATTTAAATATTCTTATTAATGTTCACCTCAGTAATTCTGAGAAAATTTTTTGTGTGAAAAAGTTTGAGATTATCCTGTTGAAATGAATCTTTTAAAACAGTGGCAAAATCAGTGTCACTGATCAGTGACACAGATCAGTTTCAAAACAGTGTCTCTATCAATCAGTTTTCAAACTAAAAATCATTGCTTCTAAATTAACATGGGTAAAAGTTGGCAACATGGTTTCATCCATGCTAAAATTTGCAGAGCCAAAATTGATGGCCTTATTTGAGGCCAGATAATTGCAACTCATTTATTTGCTAAAACAAATGATTTATGCTGAGTTATCCTTGCTTGATACAGAACCAGCTCTGTACAGGTCAATTTGTATAGATATTAGCTATAATTTTCAATATATTAGCTATAATTTTCAGCTCTGTTGATATAAATAACATTTTAGTTTGAGTAAGATTTTATAGTCAATGTTTAATCTTGCTGTTATAAAAATAGAAGAATATAGATTATTACTAGAGAGTTAATGTACTCTATTTCAAAGAATATAGAGTATTTCTATGTATTTTATTACTCTATTTGTATTATTAGTGCAGCACTGGTGTGTCAGCACCAGCATCAGGAGACGCTGCTGGCGACGCCGACGTCTCTGGGGCGTCCAGCTCCAAGCAGCGCACGAGGCGCGCGTCTTCCCAGCGTGGATTGGTGCCTGCAGCTGCTGGTGGTTGCAAAGAAAACCTGCACAAGCGTTGCCTTTTTAAGCCTTCATCAATGAAGAGGTTTTGCTGCTCCGAGTGTGATTATGCTTCTGATGATAGAAGAAACTTCAAAAAACATTTTTTTGCAAGGCATATAGCAGAAAAACCCATTCAGTGTTCTGAGTGTGATTATGCTTGCATCAGAAAATGTGACTTGAAAAG